CCCTACTCCTCACAGTGGCAGTCAGCCATGGACGCAGAGATCTCACTCTTCGGGTGCTGCTGCAGATAGTCGCTCAGCGCGACTACGAGCTTCACTCTCTTGACCTCAGCACTGCTTTCCTACGGGGCAGCCTGCACGAGGAGATCTGGCTGCACCACCCACCTGGCTTCACTGGGTCGTTTCCTCCTGGTACCTAGTGGAGCCTCCGGCGGCCAGTCTACAGTCTCCGCCAGGCGCCCTGTGAGTGGCACGACACACTGAAAACTACACTTGTGGCTCTTGGGTTTGCTCCTTCTACTGCCGACCCATCGCTGTTTCTGCGCACCGACACCTCTTTGCCGCCGTTCTACATCCTTGTGTACGTCGACGACTTGGTCTTTGCCACTGCTGACACTGCTGGAATCGCCCACGTGAAGTCCGAGCTGTAGAAGAGACACCTTCGCTCTGATACCATGTTAGAATCCCAACCACTACACCATTGGGATAAAAGGGCTTGTTTGTGTAGCAGGTAAGTGCGCCCATAACCCCCCAGGCCAACATGCCTGTAACCCTTCCCTAGGATCAATCGAGGATCACCAGTGGACCTCTGAAACTGTCTTCTCGCCACTCGCTCTCAGCTCTGCCTTCAGATGAGTCCGTAGAGCCAAGTGGCCCATACCCAGAGCTTGTTGGTTGCCTCATGTATCTGATGACCTGCACTCGACCTGACCTGGCATACCCTCTTAGCATCTTGGCACGCTATGTTGCTCCTGGGAGACATCGACCAGAGCACATGGCTGCAGCTAAGAGGGTGTTGCTCTGCTTGTGCAGTACGCCGGGCATGGGGCTCGTGCTTGGAGGGCGGAGTCCAGTGGTCCTCACTGGTCACGCAGACGCGTCTTGGGTTGACGACTTGGCTACGCAACGGTCATCACAAGGTTACACCTTCAGCCTTGGTTCCGGCTCTGTTTCGTGGCGGTCTACCCGCTCGTCTTCTGTTCTTAGCTCCAGCTGTGAGGCTGAGATCTACGCAGGGGCCATGGCTGTACTGGAGTTATGCTGGCTCACCTACCTGCTGACTGACCTGGGAGAGCCGCTTCGTTCTCCTCCAGTTCTGTACGTAGACAACAAGGCCATGCTGGCCTTGTGTCGGGAGCACAGACTGGAGCACAGAACGAAGCACATTGCTCTTCGTTACTTCCTTGCTCGTGAGCTACAGCAGCGTGGTCAGCTGCGCCTTGCTTACGTGACCTCTCGGGCCAACACTGCTGATATCTTTAAAAAGGCACTTCAGCCTTGTGATCATCAGCGCTTTTGTACGATGCTAGGTCTTGTGCCTACTTGGCCTTACTTGCTCTCTTCTTGACTCTGCTTGTACTGTGATCTATATATACCTGCACTTGTATGCTTACCCTTGCTAGGTTTTGGTCACTGCCTTGCTTGTTCACCTTGATATATAACTCTACATGTGAACTGGCCTTGTAGCCCTGTGCTTGTCCTCAGATTGTGTGGTGACGTTGTGATCCACCCTGAGCTTGCCTTGCTTTGCTTGACCGGTCTTGTGACCTCTTGTTCTCCCCCACTTTGCCTATGGGGGTGTGTAAAACAAACATGATATAGTTTGTGTAGGATGTAGTGGGGTAGACCATATGGGGTACAATACTGCTAGGTTTCCCTACTTGTACCGATCTCCTTGCTAGTTCAGTCATTCCTCTTTCTCCACAATACGTGCCGTCGCCCCAAATGCCGCTGCCGCACCGTTCAAAGGGTGCTGCTTTGCATGCAATCGGCCGGGACACCGTAAGAGCGAATGCTCGGAAAATGCTAAAGGAAAGGGGGAAGCTGAGCAGCAGAGAGAGACCAAGCACGCTGGGAGTCAGTAGCAGACGGGCCCTCTACTGACAGGTCACGCCGCTCGCCCGACCCAACCGACCCTCACCGAGCGATTGTGCGGATTCACGCAATCGACCACACCCGGCCGAATAAGGAGGGAACCACGATAGATAGGCCTATACTGCTTAGTGGGAATATCGAGACTGACTTAGTTAAAATATTCGTAGACGGAGGGGCCTGCCACAGCCTTATCGACACTGCCACAACACGGAAACTGCGACTTCCACTGGACAAGTTTACCTGAGATCGACGCAAGAGTGGTCGACGGCACTCCACCGGCGATAAGGGAACGTGTGGACCGAGTTCGGATTCGATGCTGGGGAAACTTCACGTATAGCCAGGAAATGCTTGCAACGACCCTCAACGGAACCGACATTTTACTCGAGCGTGATTGGCTGCGACGAAACAATCCGCGAATCGACTAGACGACAAGTCAGTGCACTGTGCGAGTGAACAGTAACAACATCGCCTTACCTCGCTGGGGCTCGCTTGAGTCTTCGTCGGTGCGTGTCAACGCGATCACGATGAAACGCGCCGTAGCGGCAGGAGCTTACGTGTACGCGGTTCACATTCGGGAAGCCGAGGCAGCAGACAAAGGAGGGGATTTACAGAAACTGCTAGCCGACGTATCGAGTGATCTGGCAGCACTACTGAAGTAGTACAGTGACATCTTCCTGGACGACCTACCGACGGGACTTCCACCTCAGCGACCGCACGACCACAAAACAGAACTAGAACCGGGGGCACAGCCGACAGTACAGCGATAGTTCCGACTGACTCAACCCGAACTGGACGAACTGAGGAAGCAGCTGGATTACCTGCTCGAGAAGGAGTTCATTCGCCCTAGCTCGTCGCCCTTCGCAACACCAATACTGTTCACACCGAAAAAAGACGGGGGTTTTCGCATATGCATAGACTACAGAGCACTAAACAGGGTTACCATAAAATCCCGTTACCCCATCCCGCGAGCCGACGAGCTGATCGACTGCGCACAGCCCGGGTTTTCTCGAAAATCGACCTTCGAGGAGGTTACCACCAAATTCGCGTCAACCCACCCGACTGCCCTAAGACAGCCTTTCCGAACACGCTACGGATCCTTCCAATACACCGTCATGCCCTACGGACTGACCAACGCCCCCGCCGCCATTCAAATGACCATGAACGAAGCTTTCCGCCCGCTCTTAGATAAGTGCGTCATAGTATACCTGGACGACATACTGATTTACAGCCCCAACAGAGCACAGCACTTACAGGACATCAAAGCAGTTATTAAGATACTGAGTGAGAACCGCCTACTCACAAAAGCTTCTAAGTGTGAGTTTTTACACGACCGACTGGAGTTTTTGGGACACATTATTTCAGCTATAGGAGTGGAAATAGACCCGAAAAAGATCGCAACGATTCAAGCATGGCACGCGCCGACCAACTTGACCGAGTTGCAGAGTTTTTTGGGGGTTCGTCAACTACGTGCGCCGGTTCGTCCCCGACATGGCGAAGCTGACTGCCCCGCTGACTGACCTGCTGAGAAAGGGGGTTGAGTACACGTGGGGGGAGAAAAAACAAGCTGCCTTCTCGGCCCTCAAAAATATTTTGTGCTCACCGCCCGTACTTCACATCGCAGATCCGCACCGTCCGTTCAAGCTCGTCACCGACGCTAGCGACATCGCTGTGGGAGCAGTACTGTTGCATGACTTCGGGAACGGCCTTCAGCCAATCGCGTACGAGTCCCGCAAGCTTCACCCGCCCGAACATAACTATCTGATACACGGCCGCGAAATGTTGGCGATCGTGGACGCGTTCAAGGTGTGGCGATGTTACCTCACGGGAGCGGACGTGACAGTACGGACAGACCACCGATCACTACAGTACCTTCGCGCCGAACTGAATCTCAACCCACGACAGATCCGCTGGTTGGACTATCTGGAGTCCAACTTCCACTACACGGTCACGTACAAAAAAGCGCATCCAACATCGCCGACGCACTCACCTGCCCCATCGCCCAACTCCACGCCATCCTACTCGCCCAAACCAACCCACTGCTAACAGGCCTTTTCACCCACGGATACAGTACCGACCCATTTTTTACGACCGGAAATTCACAGCAACTGGCAGAAGGCCAGAGGACTCTATTACGTAAAAACAGGCACCAATCGCATCTGGGTACCCGCGTATTCACTACTGAGGGAGCTGTTACTGCAGGAGGCACACGACGGGATTAACTCAGGACATTTCGAGGTAGAAAAAACGCGACAGCAACTACAGCGGTATTACTACTGGCTGGAGCTGCTGACCGACGTACAGCACCACGTGGTCTCGTGCCCTACGTGTCAGGTGATGAAGAGCTCGCGCAAAAGAAAGGCGGGTCAGTTGCAGCCGATCCCACAGCTTGAGCGTGCCTGGCAGCAGGTTACCATGGATTTTGTCACAGGGTTAATTTCGAACCCTGGGGGTAACAAGGTGGTTATGGTCGTTGTCACATTTCTGTGAATGCGAGCGGGTAAGGGAGGAGCGAATGGGGGATGTACATATTGTAAATGGTGTAAATAGTGAGTAAGGCGGTAAGGGGGATGTGAGGCGAGGGGACAAGGTTGACGTCTGCCGAAGCGAAGGGTTGGAAGAGGAGTCCAAGGGAAGAGAGAGGGTGGGGCTGCCGAGAGTGGAGGAGGGCAGGGGTTGTAATTACAGCGCTTGGCAGCGGCAGGGCGAGCGGGTTACCACGTCAGCTTGGATGGGTATTCGCATGCATGAATGTCTGCTTTCGTATGGGTGCAGGTGTGCTCCAAGGAGCCAGCTGGAAGAGTGCCGAGACAGCTGGAGGAAAAGAGGCAAGGGCGGGCATCACAGGTAGATGGCAGGAAGGATGCTAGTCTGTTCTAAGGTCGCGTTAGCCCTAAGGACAGACAGGGGTAGGGAGGCAAGCGAGGCGGAGGCAGATCTGGTAGATAGGGAGTACCTTGTGTAGCTATCCTCAATGCTTGTATGTTTCCTTTTAATACGAGATTCTTGCATCGAGCCTAGCAAGTAGTGAAGAGAAGGAGATATTACAAGCTAAAGATGTGACTGGAGGCATGCGTAGTGTGCTATGTGACGGAGCCTAGGGCCTATCACATACAAGCATTCGGGATTGGATGCCCACTCGATCGGGACTGGACTTTGCGGCGAAGAACCCTAAGAAGGAAGGCAAGATGACGGAAGGTGAAGAGGGGAACCGAGGAGAACCTCGGGTAGAGGCGAACGCGCAAGGCGCGGGAGGAACGGGCGAGCCGGGACTGGACAGAGCCACGGGCTCAGGAGAAGCGCACGGAGAGCAACGCCGTGCAGAGAAGGAAGAAGAAAAAGGAAGGGAGGAGGAACAGCCTATCGGAGAAGCAGCGGCGGTGGCGCGTACGGCCAGGGACGGTGGCAAGGGGTACCGTCGCAGTGTATCATGGCAGGGCTTCGAGGAAGAGGCAGCGTCGACGCGCTGGCGCTATACCATGCTACCAAAGGTGGAGGTGCCGGAACGATTCTCGGGGGAAGTCAAGCGCGGTCCGTCACTGAAGAACTACTTGATGCAGCTGGAGAACCTCCGCGCACGGTGGGAGCGAGACCGATTGGATCCAGACGAATTCTTTAGAGGGCTGGCGAATACCCTGACGGGAGAGGCGGAGACTTATTACCGCATCTGCAGGCGTGAGTTGCTGGATTGGGCCGCACAAGCTCCTCTGGGGGAAAGGGATCCCACGAAGCGCTTCTTGGGAATGTTAAGGGAGCAGTTCCCTCTGCAGACGCCGGAGCGGGTGATCGAATTCCGCGGGTTCAAACGAAGGGCAGGCGAATCACTGCTGGCCTATTACGGGCGGCTAGTGGAACTGGCAGAGGATATGAACTGCGTGGATCAGGGAAGATTGGTGAGCAAGTTTCTTAACGGGCTGAACTACGAGCTGCAGAGAGACGTGCAGGTGAAGATCTTCGAGTTGGGAGCGGCGGCGACGCTCGGTGTGGCGTACGAAACGGCGAAAAGAGTGGAGACCGGGAGACGACTGTTTGAAGTGGAGCGCACCGCCGAACGCGCTCCAGAGCACAGGAGGCCAGCATGGAGTGCACCGCCGGTGGACAGAGAGAGGCCACCGAGAGGCCCGGGAGACACTCGCAAGTGTCATAACTGCGGGCAGACGGGTCACTTGAGGCGGGATTGCAGAAATCCACCGGCATGTTCGATCTGTGGTAGAGAGGATCATCAGCGGCGGGAGTGCCCTGAGGCGCCGATATGCGGGAAGTGCGGACGACGGGGGCACACGGAGAGGGAATGCTACTCCAAGAGGGGAGATGGTCGAGGAGACAGTCGTGACCGGAGTGAAGTGGCAGAGATGCGCGCAGAAATCGAGAGGCTGCGAGCCCAATTGGAGGGGCGAGAGACGGGGGAAGAAAGGAAACCGGCAATGGTCGCTAGGAGAGAAGAGGAGGAAAGCAGTGAAGAGGACTTCTGTCTGATGGCATGGACTGCGCGGGACCGCGAGGAGCTGGGCCTGAGGACACGGGAGAGAAATATGAGGCCCAGAGCAGAGATAAGGAGGGAAGCCGGACCAAGGCGCCAGGCTGCAGCGGAGCAAGAAGACTTGCACCCTCCGCGACGGCACCCCCTTGAGAGGCTCAGCTGCGCCGCATCCGTGTTGGTGGCCGAAAAGGGGTACATAACAGTGGGAGGAGTGGCGGTAAAGCAGGCCATCATAGATACCGGAGCTCACCCTGTGCTGATCGGAAGGAGACTCGCGCAACAGCTGCAGTTGGATCGACCGGAGCGACAGATAGAAGAGGGCTTGCTGCTGATGACGGCGGAGGGAGGAGGCACGAAGTGGATGCAAAAAACGAGGAGCACGGTAGAGATATACATAAGGCAAGGGAGCCCTGAAGAGTCCTCGGTCAAGCTGCAGTGTGGAATATCACCTTCGGAGGACTACGATCTACTGCTGGGGGTGGAATTTCTCTACAGCATCGGAGCCACAATCTGCATGTGGGAAGAAAAGCTCACCTACCGCGTGGTGTACTGGGAAAGGAACCAGCCAGTGGCAAAGCTGCCCGTTCGATTCATACGGCGGGAACCCCGGGAGGCCTACCAGGCGGAGATCAGGACCGTGGAACAGGAGTTGGGGATTCTGAGCTGGGAAAGGTTGGACGAGGTACGGAGACAGCGAGACTGGCACCGGCAACATTGGGGAGAGAGTGGCAGATTGAGGGAGCTGCACCTGGATGTGGGGGTGTTTCAGAAGCCAATAGTACTGCTGGAACTGTTCGCGGGCATTTGCACTGGGCTAGCTGCAGTGCTCAAGGCCGGGCTGAGAGTGGAAAAGTACATCTACGTGGAGGATGTTGAGGCGGTGAACTACATGGCCTGGCACCATATCAAGAAATTGGAAGAACGGTACCCCTCGCAGCTATACGCGGGTGCAGTGGAAAGGGGAGCAGAGTGGGTGTGTCACCGAGTAGAGGATGTGAAGGAAGACGCGCCAGCCCACTGGGGACACGTGGACCTAGTGATCGCCGGATGGGAGTGTCAGGGTTTATCGCGGGCAGGAGAAGGAAGGGGGTTTGAGGACCCAAGAAGCGGGCTGTTCCGAGAGCTGGTGCGAGGGTTGAAGATGATCAAGAGGAAGCAAGGGGAGGTGGCGTACATAGTGGAGAACGTGGACACCCGAGATGACATGAGAGAAGCAGTGAAGAAGGCAGAGGAAGAGATTCGTGCCGAGCTGGGGGCAGGAGCGGCCTGGGATGCAGCACAGATTGGCAGCAGGGCGCACCGACCACGCCGTTATTGGCAGAACGTCATGCCGGAGGCAGCAGTCTTGTACGAACTGTCCATGATGGAACGGCCGCGTGCGCGCCTGGTGCAGGACATACTAGAGCCTGCAAGAACCCCAGCACCAGTGAGATACCCGGACCACGAATTGCAGTACCCATGCAACACAGTGGACAAGCCGCGGCAGGCCTGGCCAACGCTGGTGGCACACGACCAGGCAAAGGGGTTCATAATGGAGGGGGACAGAGAGGGCCCAGGGATGGTATACGATAGCCTGAAGGGAGTATGGGAGGAGCCAACGGCATTGGAGCGAGAGCTAGCGATGGGATTCATGGCGGGAGCCACGGCGAGCGGAGAAGTGACGGAGCAGCAGAGAAAGCGGGCATTGGGCAATGCCATGGACCTGAACGCGTTGCACTGGCTGGTGGGAGTCATGCAGAGACATCTGGAAAAGAAGCGGTTGGAGAGGAGAAGAGATCACGCAGCTAGCGCAGAGCCAAGGACCGAGCTGGATGACAAGAAGCAGTGGGAGGCAGAGAGGTTCCTGGAGCTGCTAGAGGAAGAGGCAAGTGAAGAACGAGAGAAGGGGGTGCCGGTGGAAAGGAGGATGGGCAGTCACAGCGACCGGGACGAAGCACCGGGGAGATACCCAGACCAGGACGAGGAAGAAGAAGAGGAGGAAGAATGGGTGGAGCCAGAAATGGACTGGGATAGCGAAGATAGAGAAGACCCCACAGATACATGGATCCCGGACCCGGACGAAGTATTCCTGGGCCCGAGCAGGGCGTACATGGTGCTGAGCAGCGGCAACGGAGTGGAACAGGCGCGGGAGCTTGGAGTGGAAGGGCAGAATGACGCGGAGAGAGTGGAGGCAGGTGAAGTAGAGCCAGCGCAGTGAAACCCTGCAGATACGGAAGGGCAGGAGGCAGGAGAAGCAAGGGAGAAGGAGCATCAATGGAACATAGGCACGGCGCTGCAAGGGACAGCGGCGATAAGGCTAGAAGCAGTACTGAGGAAGCATGCCGCGGCCTTTGCACACAATCTACAGGAGCTAGGGAAGTGCACGACAAGCGTCATGCACCTGCCCCTAACCAGTGAAGTGCCTGTGTACCAGAGGAGGCGAAGAATGAGCCCGCAAGACATCGAGGTCTGCACCGCAAAGTGCCAGGAGCTGCTAGCAGCAGGATTGATTCGCAGATCATCCTCGGACTATGCTGCCGCCACGGTAGTAGCAGCTAGGGCGGATCTGACGGGAACAGTGCTGTCCAGGAGGATGTGTGGAGACTACAGGGGTTTGAACAAGGTGACAGCTACGGATCGCTACCCCATGCCCATGGCAGAAGAGATTTTCGATCAGCTGCATGGAAGCTGGGTGTTCTCCACTCTGGACCTGCGGCAGGGTTTTAACCAAATCCCAATTGTAGAAGAGGATAAGCGGAAGACGGCATTCCATGGGCCAGATGGCCTATACGAGTGGAATTTCATGCCCTTTGGCCTGCGCAATGCCTCAGCAGTCTTTCAACGCGTGATGGACGCCGTGCTAAGAGAGGTGAAGGGAGCGGCCTGTTACATCGACGACGTCATCATCTTCAGCTCCGACAGTGAAAGACATGTGGCGGACATAGAAACAACACTGGCAGCCATCCAAGCAGCGGGACTCACCTGCCACCCGGGGAAATGCCGATTTGGACACCACAGTGTGGCCTATCTGGGGTTTGAAGTGGCGGGGGGGGAATTGAGCATTCAAAGGGCAAAGGTAGAAGTGCTGGACCGAGTGGGGCGGCCGAAGGACAGGAGCGGACTGAGAGCACTCTTGGGGTTTCTGAACTACTACAGGAAGTTCATCCCTGATTTCAGCAAGCGCGCTGCACCTCTGAACAAACTGCTGCGGGAGGATCAGAAGTGGCAGTGGGCAGAGCCACGAGAGGAGGCATTAAAGGGGTTGATGGAGGCAGTGAAGAGCGGAGCCGTGTTGAAGCTGCCGGACGGGAAAGCGCCCTTCGAGCTTTACATGGACTGGAGCAGTGTAGGCATGGGGGCAGTACTGAGCCAGCGGGAAGGAGGAGAGGAGAAGGTGGTTGCATTTGCGAGCAGAACCTGCAACCCGGCGGAGGCGAATTATTCGTCATACGAAGGAGAGGGGCTAGCGGCGGTGTGGGCAGTGGGTCACTTTCGGGTGTATCTGCAGGGAAGGCACTTCACGCTGATCACGGACCACCAGCCTTTGCTGTGGCTGATGCAGAAACAGACGCTGACAGGGCGGAACGCGCGATGGGCGATGAAATTACAGGAATACGACTTCACGGTGAAGCACCGCCCTGGCCGAACAATGCAGCATGTGGATGGGCTCTCAAGGAACCCACCAGGGGACCCGGGGGATGGAGAGAAAGGAGACACCGACAGGGGACAACCTGTGGCGGCGCTGACGGCGATGGTCAAGGAGAAGGGGGCAGGAGGAGAGCAAGAGAGAGGAGCAGCAGATGTGTGGCAGGATGCAGCAACCCTGGCCTGGATCAAGGGGGAGACAGCAGAGGATGGAGGACCGAGCAGCAGGGCGCGGGCCAGAGGACAACACTACAGGTGGTATCAGGGACAGGTGCAGCTGCAGACGAAGGATGGGTGGAAGCGCGTACCAGAGCCAGCAGCACGAGAGGCCCTCATTAAGGAGGTGCACGAGAAACTGGGCCACTACGGGCCCCTTCGCTCGGTTCAGCTGCTGCAGACGGGATGGTGGTGGGCAGGCATGAGAAAGGAAGTGAGAGAGTGGGTGGAGAAGTGTGAGTTGTGCTGCAGGAACAAGGCGACGCTGCTGCGGAACCAGGCAGAGCTGCAGCCGCTGGCGATCGTGGAGCTCGGATATCGCTGGTCCTTGGACATAGCAGGAGAACTGCCCGTGACCAGGAGAGGAAGGAGGTATATCGTGCTCATGATTGAGCATGTGAGCAAGTGGGCGGAAGCGCGACCTCTGCTGAACAAGACCGCAGCGGCAGTGGCAGAAGCGTTTGAGGAGATGGTGATCACGCGATTCGGGGCGTGCGGGGAGGTACTGACTGACCAGGGGACAGAGTTCGAAGGAGAATTCAAGGAGCTACTAGCATCAAATGGCATCCAGCACAGGACCACCTCCCGCTATCACCCACAGGCGGATGGGCTGACGGAAAGGCTGGTGCAGACAGTGAAGAAGGGCCTGCGAGTGTACGGGGAGGAGCATAAGGGGGATTGGGACAAGAAGCTGGCATGGGTGATGGCGGGCTATAGGTTCAGCAAGCAGGCAGCCTTGAAAGACGTGTCACCCTACTACTTGCTGTTCGGGAAGCAGCCGATTTTGCCCGTGGGAGCGCCACGTGTACTGACAGACAGCGTCTCAGCGGGGACGGCGGAAAAGTGGGTGGCCCTGGCAGACGCCCGAGCAGCATATCTGAAGACGATGCTGCCAGCAGCCATGGAAAGTCTGAAGGTGGCCCAGCTGCGAGACATCCACCGCTACAAGCAGCGGCAGACGGCGAAGTTACAGGGAGGAGAGCAGCTGGTGGGGGAGGGACAGGAAGTATATGTGAGGCGCGCGAAACGCGATGGGCTAGACCTCGGGGTGTCCCGGCAGAGATGGACCGTAAAGGAGGTGCGAGACTCAGGTGTGTTGGTGCTAGAGGAGGAAGGTGGCAAGCGAGTGATGGACCACGTGACCAATGTGGCCGTGGCAGGAAAGGGGGGAAAAGGGCGGTAGTACTCAGGTCCCATGACCAGGGCGAGGACGGCAGCAGAGGGCCATGGGAGGGGGCAAGAGTGAGTCTAGCGTGGGGAGGCAGTATCAAAGCACAAAAGGAGAAGCACGACTAAGGTGAAGGTGTGCAGGAGAAGGTGTGAGAAGGAAGGGTAGGCTGGAGTAAGGAGTGACAAGCGTAGTTCTGGAAAGTGCAGCAGAAGAGAGGAGCAAAGAGAGGAGTTGGGCAGAGAGCAGCAAGGAGGGGATGAGGTTCCGACAGCTGTCACATTTCTGTGAATGTGAGCGGGTAAGGGAGGAGCGAATGGGGGATGTACATATTGTAAATGGTGTAAATAGTGAGTAAGGCGGTAAGGGGGATGAGAGGCGAGGGGACAAGGTTGACGTCTGCCAAAGCGAAGGGTTGGAAGAGGAGTCCAAGGGAAGAGAGAGGGTGGGGCTGCCGAGAGTGGAGGAGGGCAGGGGTTGTAATTACAGCGCTTGGCAGCGGCAGGGCCAGCGGGTTACCACGTCAGCTTGGATGGGTGTTCGCATGCATGAATGTCTGCTTTCGTATGGGTGCAGGTGTGCTCCAAGGAGCCAGCTGGAAGAGTGCCGAGACAGCTGGAGGAAAAGAGGCAAGGGCGGGCATCACAGGTAGATGGCAGGAAGGATGCTAGTCTGTTCTAAGGTCGCGTTAGCCCTAAGGACAGACAGGGGTAGGGAGGCAAGCGAGGCGGAGGCAGATCTGGTAGATAGGGAGTACCTTGTGTAGCTATCCTCAATGCTTGTATGTTTCCTTTTAATACGAGATTCTTGCATCGAGCCTAGCAAGTAGTGAAGAGAAGGAGATATTACAAGCTAAAGATGTGACTGGAGGCATGCGTAGTGTGCTATGTGACGGAGCCTAGGGCATATCATAAGAGTGAGTCTAGCGTGGGGAGGCAGTATCAAAGCACAAAAGGAGAAGCACGGCTAAGGTGAAGGTGTGCAGGAGAAGGTGTGAGAAGGAAGGGTAGGCTGGAGTAAGGAGTGACAAGCGTAGTTCTGGAAAGTGCAGCAGAAGAGAGGAGCAAAGAGAGGAGTTGGGCAGAGAGCAGCAAGGAGGGGATGAGGTTCCGACATCGTCGTTGACAGGTTGACGAAGATGGCACACTTCGCTGCGTGCAAGAAATCGATCTCAGCCGAAGAAACCGCTTGCCTGTTCATCGCAGTTGTCGTTGTGAGAATCAGCGAACAGGAAAAGTGAATGAACTAGCAGTGAAATGAGTACAAGTAGGAAACCCTAGAATTGTGTACCCCCTATAGGCTAACCCACTGTAGCCTACACAAGCAGAACATATATAATGTTTGACACACCCCCATAGGCAAAGTGGGGGAGAACAAGGGGTCACAAGACCAGTCAAGCAAAGCAAAGCAAGCTCAGGGTGGATCACAAAGTCACCACACAGTCCGAGCACAAGAGCAGGGCCAGAGGCCAGCTCACATGCAGGAGTACAGACATATATATAAAACTAGACAAGCAAGAGCAGGTATATATATATGTCACAGTACAAGTGAAGTCAAGAGGAGAGCAAGTGAGGCAAGACAGGCACAAGACCCAGCTGGGTGCAAAAGCGCTGATGGTCACAAGGCGCGAGTGCCTTGGTGAACACATCAGCAGTGTTGGCCTCAGAGGCCACGTACGCAAGTCGCAACTGACCACGCTGCTGCAGCTCACGAGCAAGGAAGTAGCGGAGAGAAATCTGCTTCGTTCTGTGCTCCAAGCGCTGCTCTCGACACAAGGCCAGCATGGCCTTGTTGTCTACGTACAGCACTGGAGGAGAACGAGGTGGCTCTCCAAGGTCAGTCAGCAGGTAGGTGAGCCAGCGAAGCTCCTGTGCAGCCATGGCCCCGGCGTAGATCTCAGCCTCACAACTGGAGCCGAGAACCGAAGACGAGCGAGTAGACCGCCACGAGACAGAGCCGGAACCAAGGCTGAAGGTGTAACCCTGTGACGACCGCTGCGTAGCCTGGTCGTCAGCCCAAGAAGCGTCCGCGTGGCCGGTAAGGACCACTGGACTCCGCCCTCCAAGCACTAGCCCCATGCCCGACGTACTGCACAGGTAGCGCAATACCCTCTTCGCTGCAGCCATGTGCTCTGGTCTGTGTCTCCCAGGAGCAACATAGCGTGCAAGAATGCTCAGAGGGTATGCAAG